GCTAGAGGAGGAGTGGTGATATCTCTCATAAGCCTGCATCTATTCTGTGAAAGCCAATTAGAAATTTCACTGTGACAAACAGAAGCAACAGTATTGTGGAGGCCTGGCAAAGGCACCTGCAGCATTGAGCAAGAGAGCAGGCCCACAGCCTTCCCCAGTGCAGCAGCTTGGCTGAGGTTTCCACCTCCAGATTCCAGCTGGTGTTGGTGACTTAGCACATCTCATTTTCTGCCTGCTGCCACGTCCCAGAAAAGACATCTTCCAAGGATGTCGCCTCCCAGGCTGAGCATTTCCTCACCCTCCTTCTCTGCCCACAGGTCACAGAGTTTAAATCCTTGTTGTTGTCACTTTGCTTCTTCCATGGGAACATGCTGGAGAGGAGGAAGTTTGGACCACTGGGGTTCAACATCCCCTATGAGTTCACGGATGGAGACCTCCGCATCTGCGTCAGCCAACTCAAGATGTTCTTGAGCGAGTACACAGACATCCCATACAAGGTAAGCACGTGAGCTGACCCATTCTGGGCACAATGGCTCACGATGGGTCACGGGTTGGACAGCCCTCGTGGGATCCCTCACAGGTTCTGAAGTACACAGCTGGGGAGATCAACTACGGGGGCCGTGTGACCGACGACTGGGACAGGCGCTGCGTGATGAATATTTTGGAAGATTTCTACAAGCCTGAGGTTCTGACTCCTGAGTTTGCCTATTCTGAATCTGGGATCTACAAGCAGATCAGCAGCTCTGCAGACCTCGATGTAAGTACTCGAGTAACGAAATGGAGCTTTACAGATCCAGGGGGTGGTCGTGGTGCAAAGGGCGAGTGCTTCTCCCTGAAACCCACAGTATTTCCATTCCCCTGGGGGAATGTGAGCTTAAAAGAATGTGGAGATCTCCAGCTGCTTTCGGGAAGCTACATCTTCTTCAAGCAACAGGAGGAAAATCTTGTTGATGTGCACAGGAGGGAGGTTGTAGCTGTTGCCAGCATACCTCATCTGAAAGCATTTGTGCTCTGAACCACTTTGATATCACATACTTGAAATGCCTGAGGAGCTTTGTGCAGGAGACGCTGCAGGAAGCTCACTGCCAAGCTGCCCGTTCTTTTAATGTGTATTTGCTTTGACAAAAGTGTGATTTAACTCCCCAGCCATGCATGAGCTAGGGCCTCCAAATGTGGCTCAAAGGAGCTGTCGCTCCCTCAGCCTCCCCTTCTGCACTAGCCAGCATAACTCAGGGCACACAGACACTGCCCCTAAGTCATACTTGTGAATTACCATTCCTGGCTGCCACACGAGACAGGGAACTGCAAATGTCAGAAGCTCAAACAATAAGACAAGGCCTAGCTTCTACGTGAGCCTGCAGGTCTACAGGCTGCTGCATTTGGCTCCTCGAGCAGCCCTGGCTTTGGTTATTTCTGGCCAGGCCCATGGCAGCCAAAAGGGCTCCCCGTTCCTGTCCTCCCAGCCCCGCCATCTCTCACAGCCAATGCAATTCCTCCCCAGGGGTACCTGCAGTACATCAGGAGCCTGCCGCTCAATGACAGCCCGGAGCTTTTCGGTTTGCATGACAATGCCAACATCACCTTTGCTCAGAAGGAGACCTTTGCTCTGCTAGGGGCCATCCTGCAGCTGCAACCAAAGACATTCACGCTGGGTGGCTGCAGCAGGGAAGAGGTGGGTTCCCCAGTTCCACTGGAATTCTGGCACAAGCAGTGAGCACAGACCACACGCTCACATGCTATGCCAGTGTCACCCTGTCCAGCAGCCAATGGCTCTGCCATCCAGATGTCAGCTCTCCCCCTTCCCTGCAACCGTGGCTGGCTGGGTGCTCACCTGCTTGCTGTCTGCCTTTCCAGCTGGTGGAGGAGACTGCAAATGAGATCCTGGCGAAGCTGCCTGCCCCCATGGACCTGCAGGAGGTGATCTGCAAATACCCTCTGCTCTATGAAGAGTCTATGAACACAGTACTGGTGCAGGAGGTCATCAGGTAACTCCCTGCAGCCTCCTGTCCTGGTCCCTTGGGGAATGACAGGGATGTGCAGGCCCCTGCTCCCCTCAGGGAACCTCACTGCTGAGCAGTGGGGTAGCAGAAAGGTATCAAGTCTGCTGTCCCAGCCACAGCCTTCAGCTGATCCCTGTTCTGCAGCGACTGATCAGTGTCTGCATGGTACTGTCAGCAGTTCACAGCTTGGGGGCAGTCAGAGAGCTCCATCCAAGAGGATGAATAGCAAGGGTTATGTGAAGCTCACTGCACAGTAATCCAGGCAGACACAGGGGATAAATCCCCACACCAGGTCGTTCCATGATCCCTCTGCAGAAACAGCAGCCCTTTTCTCTTAGGTACAACAGTCTCCTGGAGGTGATTGCTCAGACGCTGAAGGATTTGCTGAAAGCTCTCAAGGGCCTGGTTGTGATGTCCTCTCAGCTGGAGCTGATGGCCAACAGCTTGTACAGCAACTCCGTCCCCACTGTGTGGAACACCAAGGTAACACTTGCCAACCAACACCGCTACCCCAGGAGTTCTTCTGACCCCAGGGAGAGCATCAAACTCCACAGCTGGGCTGGGCTGTCACATGGATGCTGTCTGTTTTGCAGATGTCTTCTGCCTTGTGCAGAGGTTCTCAGCCCTAAGCTGGAGGAGTCCCTGGGCTTTAGGCATCTCTCAGCAACTCGGGCTTTAGGGTGCCCTTGTTTGCATTCAATACCTTCCTCTCCATGTGCCCCACAGGCCTACCCATCACTGAAGCCCTTGGCATCCTGGGTGAATGACTTGGTGCAGCGGGTTGAATTCCTCCAGAAGTGGATCAGCCACGGGATCCCCTCTGTGTTCTGGATCAGTGGGTTCTTCTTCCCTCAGGCCTTTCTCACTGGCACACTGCAAAACTTTGCTAGGAAGTCTGTCATCTCCATTGACAACATTTCATTTAGCTTCAAGGTAAGGGAGTTAGACAGATTGTTTTTGCTGGATTTTTTGGGGATTTGCTGCCTGACCACAAAGACAGCAGTTCTAGGCCCAACCTGCCCAATAGGTGGAACCAGTAGCTGCACATCCCCTCTTCCCCTGTGCACCAGATACATCCACCCTCAGCACAGACACGTCCATGATGCAACCCGTGACCTCTCCATCTCTCCAGACCTGCTCAAATCCTTTCTCCACAGCCTTTTCCTCAAGCCGTCCCACACCATCATGATCCGAGCTGCTGGAAAACCCAGCCCAGAGATATCTGAGAGCTGGAGCAGGCTTCCCTGTGGTAGTTCTGCCTTGACCAAGAGCAGAGTAAGGGGTTTCACAGGTCTGCAGGGCCAAGCCTTGCTCACAGCCCCAGGCCCACTCTCTTCCACAGATGATGAAGGAGTCAGCGAGCGAGCTCTCTCGCCCTCCCTCTGAAGGCTGCTACATCTATGGCTTGTTTCTTGAGGGTGCCCGCTGGGACACCTCTGCGTTTCAGCTGGCAGAGTCCCATCCCAAGGAGCTGTACAGCGAGATGGCTGTCATCTGGCTGCTTCCTGTCGCCAATCGCAAGCCTCCAGCTGCTGGCATATACCTGTGCCCCATCTACAAGACACTCACTCGTGCGGGTAGGTGCCCTAAAGACAGCCCCCAGAAGCAAAGGAGACCTTAGAAGTCGCTGCAAGGATAGGCAGCCCAGGAGAAACTGCAGGAGCTCTTACAGCTCCTGCTGAGCCTGCCTGTGCCCTGGCAGCAGGGCTGCAGTGCCACGCTGAGCCCCTTTGCCTCCCTCCTCACAGGGACACTGTCAACAACGGGCCACTCCACCAACTACGTGATTGCTGTGGAGATCCCCACAGACAAGCCTGAGAAGCACTGGATCAAACGAGGCACAGCCTTGATCTGCGCCCTGGACTTCTAGCCAGGAGCTGCCCAGGCAGGTGAACCACCCCAGGGACAGGTAAGGGAAGTCAGCAGGAGGCAGGAACTGACCACCAGCAGCTACTCTCCTCCTCTTTTCTCCCCAGCTGTTCATTACACCCTTTATTACAAATGGAGTTGAACTGCACCACCATTGCATTCTGTTGTTTGTAATCCCCACAATTAGACCTCTTTTAGAATCACAGCATGGTTGGGTTGGAAAGGACCTCCGAGCCTCCCTTCTCAAGTTCTTCTCCCACTTCATACTCACACCTGGGATTGCCCCAGACCAAGTACAACACTTTCCCTTGGCCTTATTGACTCTCATTAGGTTCTTGTGTGCCCACTTTTTGAGCCTGTCCGGGTCCCTGTGGATGGCATCCCTTCTGTTCTATCAGCTGCACCTCAGCTCAGTGTCACCCACAAACTGTGCTGAGGGTGCACTCGATCCCACTGTCCATGTCATTGATAATGCTGTTAAAGAGCACTGGTCCCAAGAGGGAATCCCCCCAGCACTCATCACCTGGACACAGAGCCACTAGCACAACCCTCCTAACTGCAGCCATCCAACCAATTCCTTATCTGTTGAATAGTCCAGCCTTTAAGTCCATCTTTCTCCAACTTAGAGATAAGGAAGTAGTGCAGGACCATGTGAGAAGCCTTGCACAAGCCCTTTCTTTTTCTACCATAGCCATCACTCCACTGACTCAGCCACCAGATGGGTCAGGCATGATCTGTCCTTGATGAAGCTGGGCTGGTTGTCTTGGACATCACCTTCCCATCTTCCACACGCCTGGTTTGTTCTTCCTGTCAGGTCCCTATCTCCACTGGAGGTCAGAGGGGAACGCTACCTGCACTCCTGATCCCTTCAGCCTCTAACATCTTTCCCTTTTTATCTTTCAGTCTCCTTGTTGCACTTGCACATGTCCCAGTGTGAAAGACAAGGACTGAGTCGTAGTCTCTGGCTTTATCAGGCCCGGTAGCCTCTTCTCCCTGCTTGTGTTTCAGCCTCAGCCCAGCCCCCATCCTATTCCTGGCAATTCTCCCCTGGCCCTGGGATTCCTCTCACTCTGGTGCTCCCAGCTGCATACACACACACCTCCCCCCTCCCTTGCACACTGGCTCCCCCCGTGACTGTTACAGGAGAGCTTTATTCCTTCAGACAGATCCATTACATACAGCACTTGGTATGAGACACAGCAAGAAGAAACAGAAGGATTTTCTTTCCTTCAACAAGTACAAAAAAAAAAAAAAATAATAATAATTCCACGGTCAAGATCTGTACAAATTTGCACGTTTGGCAAAGTCAGTCCCCCCTGCAGCTGTTCCTCTTCCCCCCTCACAGCTACTTCTTCCCCCATCAGCACAGGCGCTAACCTCTGGCTGCTGGGGACAGGGCAGAAACCTTCTGCAAGAACAGAGGGGGCTGGGGGGCAGGGATGGGGTCTGCGTGGCCGGCAAGCTCCTGCACTGCAGCCTGCTTGGGCAAGAAAAGCAGCTTTGGGCTCCATCCCATTTCTGCCTGCCACTGAAGTTCCCGTCACCTCTTCCCACACTGAAAGGCTTCGCTCAGGGCACCAGGCACTTCCAGGTCCAGCTTCCAGCCCCCCAGCACCAAGGCCAAGCCACCAACCTTGCGTTCTTTATTCATAGTTCTCTGGGAACAAGGAGCAATTGTGTGTGATCCAGAAACACTGCCAGGGCCACACTGCTGGTCCTTAGCAGAGCAGCTGTAGAAGCAGGGCCACTTGCCCTCCCAGCACCACCACAGAAAGCAAGGGACAAAGTCCAGGGGGGACTCTAGCCCTGGGGACAGGTGGCACTGCCACCCCAGGGGATCGGCACACAGATGGGGTCACACAGGGCCACAGTGCTGGAGAGCGGTTCTGTCCAGGAGCTGTTTCGCTCAGCCACAGCCAAAAAGCAGGTCAGAACCAGAAAATCAATTTTGTCAAGGAAAGTAAAGAACAGAAAACACAGGTGTGAGGGTCCTGGGGAAGCGCAGAGCTGAAGGCCTGGACACAGCAGAGCACCAACCCCAGGCAGCTGCGGCCAGCACAGCCTCGCATCAGCAGCCCCAGTGCCTCTGTGGTGCCCAGCCCCCCGGCCAGGTGGGCTCTTCCCTCCTCCCATCACCAGCCACGGCCCCAAGACAGGCCCAAGGCACCTGAGCGTGGCCACGGCCAGACAGGCAGCAGGGCTCTGAGCCTTGCCTTTGGCCGCAGGGCTCTCCTCAAGACAAGGCCTTGCTGCCTTTTGGGCTCGGAGGAAAACCCCATTTCTGCTTGTCCCCAGGCTCCACCTCAGCTGAAGGCTTCTCGCTGGGGTCCCTCTCCCTCAGGCAAAGGGTAACATATATCCATGTGCCACTGCCCAGAGCCACGAGGGTGAGCTGGTCTCAGTCTCAACCCCAAGGCTACTGCCGCTTGGCTTTGTATGGACGGGAGCGTTTCCGGCGGTCCGGCTTCCTCTGCTTGTGCAGACGGCCGATGCTGACCCCCTGCCGCCTGCGGACGGAGATGTTCTGCTCCACGAGGCTCGCCAGCATGCCTGCAGGGAAACAGGCAGCAAACACACTGCAGGCCACGCTGCAAGCAGCCACTGTGCACAGCAGAGGGGGCTCGGAGCTGGCAGCACTGATGATGGAGCGCAGCTCAAAGCACAGCAAGCTCCACGCAGCCCAGTGGTGGAGGCCCCAGATGAACTTGAATCTCGTGCTCTACTGCCCGTGTCTTACCTTCCTGGGCCAGCATGGAGATGAAGGTACAGATGAACTCATCATAGTTGTGGGTTCTCCTCTGGTCGTCGATCTACAAATAGATTGCGCTGCTCTCAACTGAACCACATGCCCTGTGCTTTGCCATCAGTGTGGCCACAGACAGAAGCCTTCAGGAAGCTCAGCCAGCAATGCAAATGATACATGGACAAACTCACCTTGAATTTCTTCCTCTTCTCAACTTCCTCCTTCAAGCAAGCCTCGTAGTTTGCAATCTCGGCTTCCACACACTTCAGCAGTGCCAGCAGCTCCTGCCGGGATCAAGCAGAGCAAACGTGAGCAGATGGAGACCCGCATGCCAGCACCCAGCAGGGGAGCTACGGGGTGAGCGGGGGGCATTCCTCTCTGAGCTGGGATTCACCAAAGAGAAAAAAACACTTGGCAGGGGGCAAAAACAGTACATTGTAGGGGACTTCTGAGCTTGGTTCATTCTGCCTGAGCCCAGCCCTAGTTTGCTTCACTAACCAACAGAAGACATCTTTCCAGACAGCTCTCCTGCAGGGAGCCCTATATGTGCTGGTGCTGCCCAAGCCCGGTCGTGCTGGTGGCCAGAGGGCAGGGACCTGGGCAAGGCCCCACCTGGCTCCGGCCCAAAGGAGCACCTCTCAAACACAGGAGGCAGGGGCTCTACCCACCGCCAACACAGAAGATCTCAGGATGACACACGGCACAGAACCTGCACTGCCCTGTGCCCCGAGGCACGGCCGCAGCGGCGCACGAGGGGGACAGCGTGTGCATGTGGTTCAGTCACTGCCAGTGCTGCTGCGTCTCTGGGCGAGCGCAGGGGGCTCCACGTCCCTAGGGCTTTTGCAGCACAAAACTCACCTTGGGAGAATACTTTTCCCCCCCAGGGTGATCACTGGTCCTGCCAAGTCCCACCTTCTCTTTGCTGCCACTGGCCTCACTGCCCTCCTTCTCGTCCAGTTTGATGGTGACCTGGGCTTCTTCACCGGGTTTGATGGAAGGGGGGGAGCTTTTCCCCCCGTCTGCGCACAAGGGAAGGAAGCATTAGGAGCCACAACAGAGGGCACGGTCCCACCACCGCAGGGGACAGCTGGCACCAACCTGCAGCAGCCAGCGGGCAGAACACGCCGTCCTCTGTGAGATGCAGCAGCCCAGAGCTGATGATGGGCCCCAGGTCCCTGACGGCCCGGTTGTAGCGCAGGCAGTCAATGCGCAGGAGGCCGTCCTCCTCACCAAACAGCACCTTGGAGATGTGGGATGTGACGGGGCTGGAGGGACGCGTGGGGTTGGCCGAGCGGATGGGAGAGCGCAGCGGGGAGTTGAAGGCGCTGCCGATCTCGGAGGCGGTGTCCGTGCTCTCATTGCTGGGGGTGGGAGAGGGCTGGGAGTGAGTGACAATGGCCACAGCAGCTCCACCACCACTCGTCTTGATGGACAGGGGAATGGAGAGATCCTTCTGGGACTCCTTCAGCTTCTCAGCCAGGACGTTGATGGTGTTGGGCTGGAGGACGGAGAGCTGGCCATCCGCGGCCCCCGCTGTGTGCTCTTGCTTTACCTGCCCCTTCCTTTTGTACCTGCCCAGGAACGCAGAAGGGAAGGTGATGCTGCTGGAAGGAGGGGGCCCAGCTCAGCAGCACAGGCACCGCCAGCTCCACACTCAGCACTTGAGGCCATGTTGCTGAGATGACCTGAGATTGCGAGGCCTGGAACGTTTTCTAGGTCACCCCCAGTGCCAACAGCTTTTCTGGGAGCAGCTTGCCTCCCTGAGCTGCAGGGATCCCCCCATGGTGACTGTAGTGGAAATGGTAAATCAGGGCTTGACGCAGTGGTGGAGCAGCTTGTGGGAAGGTGGGGCTAACCCAGAGGAGCTCAGGTGTATGCAATGTACCTAAGTAACAGGAAGGGGTGAAGGCAGGATCCACCCCTTCCCAGACCTCATTTAAGGGCTGGCAGGGGGAGGTGAGGGTATCTTACTGGAAATCCCTGTGTACCTGATGCCTTCTGAAGGTAAGCAGCTTCTTTCCTTTATTTTGTGCCTATGGCTGTTGCATTTGAGCAAATCCTCATTTGCAGCAGCCTAAGATTTTCTTCTCTACTGTCACTGTTGTGCTTTCCATCATGTTATACTGGTGGCAAATGAAGCCTCCAGGCAGAACGTGTTCATTTCATGAGCTATTGGGCATCCTTACATGCAGCTCAGCCTCTGCCATCCAACCAAAGAGTACAGTGATGGATCAGCTACGAAGTGATTTCAGGCCAGGCCCCACCATCCCGAAAGCAACCAGGAAATCCAGCGGGGTCAGCTAGGCAGGCTATGAAGAAGGGTTGGGCACAAAGCTAAGCTTCCTTTGCCCCCCCCCGCCCTCAACTCAAGCTGTTACCTGATGGCTGAGTTGGTGTTACGAACTTCCTCCTCCTCATCATCATCATAGTCATCCTCATCATCTGAGTACTGCTGGTGCTGTCGGACCGGGACCCGGCTGCGACCCACTCCTGCCGCAAGGTCTTCCTCCTCCTGCAAAACACCATTGCTCCACCAGTTGGGTGAGGAGGAAGAGCCCAGCAGACAGTGTCCATGGTCCATCCAAGCACCACGGGCCTGAGAGAGCATCAGCAGCCCAAAGGAACCCAAGCTCACAGTTTAGGTCTGCCTAAGTCCTGCTGGTTTGTGTATAGCCAGGACAGCAGGAAAAAAAGGGAGCTGGGCTCTGCTCTTGTCACCTACATCTTCCCCATTCCTCCCACAGCAGGTCCTCAAGTGTTCCCACAGGAAGCTCTTTCCTTTGGGCTTCGCTCACACACAGCCTTTATGTTCAGATCTGGTGTGTTTGTTTCTGCTCCTGCACAGCCTCCTTCATCCCAGGACCCAAGTTCCCAAGGCAACACAGTGAACTACAACAGCTAAGGGACCCATGTTAAAGCCAGTGTCTTTTGTCAGGTCACTTCTTACCCTCCCACCTTCCAGCTTGGGTAGCACAAGGGGAGGCATGCTGGGAGGAAGGCCTTAGGCCTGCTGATAGTAGCAGTCCTGGGAAGCTGGGGGATTGGATGTGGAAAGCTTGGCTCAAACCAGATGTACTTCTGGCCTGGAGCTCCAACCCACCTGCATGGGGGACTTGGCATAGTTGTGGTTATCCAGGAAGGCTGGCAGCCTCTGCACGATGGGGTTGGGGTTTGCTGGAGGCACCCCATTGATGCTGCTCGCTGATGCCTTTGCCATTGGTTTTGATTTGGTGGGTGGGCTCTGCGTGGCTGTGGTGTGGCCCTGGCTGGCAGGCTCATCAGTGCTGTCTGCAATGCAAGCACAGCCTTTCATGGACATCACTGTTTACTCAATATCCTCTGCCACCCCTTTCTCATTCTATGAAACCCACTTCCCATTCTACTTCCAGCTGTTAGAAGTGTTCTTAAATACAAGTCCTCCCCTTTTCAAGCTTTGTGTCCCTCCTCCCAGTACTTGGGGGGTTTACAACAGAACTGGTCAACTGGGCTTGGAGAAAAGAAAGTAAAGCTGACCATAGAAGTTACTCAAGCTCTAGGTAAGGCAGAGATCGTCATCAGCCAGTGCCAACAAGTGCTTGCTCCACAGCAGGCTGGAATGGCTCACAGCACCACTGGAATGGGAGCCTACCTGGATGGGTACTCTCTGGGGCCACAGTCTTGCTGTTGGCTGGCTTTGCCTCTTCAGGAGATTGAGATTCCTGAGACTTCTGGGACTGGATCAGCTCAGGCTGAGTGACTCGGATAAGCTTGAAGGCAAAAGACAGATTGGAAGTGACTGCTGGACCAGGGGGTTCAAACCAATCGCTCCCATTAGAGCACTGCAGAAGGAGAACTCTTGAAGTAAGCCGATCTCCAAGCATTTGTGTACGATCAGCCAGCAACCCTGTGGTTAACCCCCAAGAGAGCAGCAAAAGGCCGAGCAGCAACAATACTCCTTTTCTGGGAAGAGGTCACCCTCAAGACACACAAAAAAAAAAAAAAAAAAAAAAAAAAAAAAAACCACAAAAAGAAAAACCACCACAGAACCAACCACCCAAGGTACCTACAGCTCAGTGAGATGCCCTGACAGCACGGCCTATTTGCCATCACAGCCCTGCACTCCCACAGGGCTTGGGCTGCCCCACCTGCTGCAGGGCCTCCAGCACAGTCTGGCGATTCATCTTCAGGATATGGAGCTTAGACTCATATTTCATCCTCCGATCAGGAACCACTGCCATCAGGTTGAAACGGATGTCGTGGTATGGCTCCCTGCAGGACGTTACAGGAGATGTCAGACATACTGAGCCTTGGGGCTCCCTGCTGATAACCAGCCTCCAACCAGACTTTGTGCCACTGAATGCCACCCTCTGGGTCTGGCCATTAAGCCAGTTTGCAATCCACCTCATCATCTGCTCATCCAGACCATAACGCATCTGCTTCTCTATGTAAATCTCAGGAGGTGGCATCAAAAGCCTTGCTGGAGTCAAGGCAGAGAATATTCACATCTCTTCCCTCACCTACAAGCCAGTTGTTTCACCACAGATGTTACCAAGTTGCTCTGGCCTGACTTTCCCTTGGTGAATCCATGTTGACTACCTTTGATCACAATCTCCTTCACGTGGCTGAAAATGGTTTCCAGGATTACTGTTCCATCGCATTCCCAGGAATTCAGGTGATGCTGACTGGCCTGTAGGTCCCTGGCTTCTCCTTCCTGCCCTTCTTGAAGGCAGGAGTGACATTTTCTTTCCTGCAGTCCCCAGGTACCTTTCCCAATCGTCAAGATTGATATCTGCCCTCTGGCAGACACTGGGATGCTTGAATTCCCCTATGAGGACCAGGGCCTGAGAACGAGAGGCTACTTCTAGCTGTCTGTAGAAAGTCTTACCCACTTGTTCCTCCTGGTCAGGCAGCCACAGCTGACACTCACTACAGTGTCACCCACAGCCACCTCTTTAGTCCTGACCCTTAAGTTTTCATTTGGCTCATCCATCCCCATTCCCTGCACTCCAACTGCTCCCTTGACTAAAAGGGAGCTCCTCCTCACCTCCTCTGCTGCCCTTCCTGGAGAGCCTGTCTCTCTGCACCACAACCCCTTCATAGCCCTGCAGCCACACACATCTCCAATTCCTCCTGTTTCTTCCCTGTGTTGCAGACCTCAGCACTCAGGCTCCTGCCCACACTGCAGAAGGCCACAGACTCAGCCAACACAGACCTCACGTGGCCACTCCTGTCCACAAGGCAATCCATAGAGACCGCATCCTACCAAGTGCAGCTTGTCTGCAAACTCTGGGGCAGGGGAAGAGAAGGCAAGCTGGTGGTGCATTTGCACCACCCCCTGAGCAACATCCTCACCCCCACTTCCACAGCTCATCGCACAGACATGAGCAGAACTCATCCAAGGAGATGAGGCAGTGCCTGCACCAGAGCCCAGGACATTACCCTGCAGTGGCCAGGCCGATGCGCTCCATGATCACTCTCCTGGCTTTGTCTGTCCATTCCTCGTCGTCAGCCCAGGGCCCTGTGGTAAAACAAAGCAAGAACTAGCAAAGAAGGCCACAGTTTCTGCTTCAGACAGGACAGCATCAAGCAGGGATCCTGCTGTCCCCACGAGGCAATTTCATGGCTCCCTTACATCTCAAGGAATAAGAGACCCAGACAAGAAGGAGGATGGGACCAGAAGGACCACACTGTCAGCAACACACAGCCAATATGGCTTGTATACCTTGCTTCTGCCTACTGAATGGAAAACATTAGTCATCAGCAGGGCAGCCAGGCAAATTCTGAATCCTACAGAACACACTTTGCAGGCTCTGCGATCTCAAAGTCCAAAGAAATCCCTGCTTCGGAGCTGAGCTCCCACTGAATCTGTTCCGGTTTGTAAGAAATGTAAGTAGATTTCTTTAAGTGGATACTTTTCCAAGGGGCCTGATATATAGAAGTCCTAGCTAGGATAAAAAAAAGTGTCTGAAAGACAGAGCAAAGTGGTCAGGTTGTAAGAAAGGGGAACAGCTCAAGCAGTTCTGCTGGGATCAGCACTGGGGACCTTGGGCCTCAGCACACAAAGGCTATTTGACACAGCAAGGAGGTGAGGAGACAAATTCTGCTTGCGACACCATGTTATTTCAGAGCAGCAGAAGGACTTCATGGCCCTCAGCAACATGGGAGGAACACAGTAAGGTTGGAAAAAAACAATGCAGTAATTGTTTCCCATGCTGCTGTTGTTTTTTTTCTTTTTTTTTCTTTTTTATAGCCCCCAGAGTAAAGTCTCCAAAATGAGCTATCAACACTCAGGACAAATCTGGAATAATTCTTCACTAGCACTAGCTAATGGTAACTGACAAACAATACACTCATGGACAAACCAGGGTTCTTACCATGGTCAATGGGATAAACCTTCAGCCCATCCAGCTCAAACAGCCGTCCCTTGATAGGGACATAGCTGACAAAATGGAAAGCCTCCATGGTTCGCACAGCACTGATCCCATTCTGTTTCTCTGGCAAGTGCCGTGGCTCCGGCCTGCGACAGCAAAGGGCAAAAGGTCAGTGCAGAGCCTGCTCCAGCAGAACTGAGCTGCAGGAGACCCCCTCACTCACCTGGCATGGCTGTTGTGGGCCTTGGCCAGCTCGGGGGCATTGCCGATGGCATAGCCTTTACTCTGCAGCAAAGAGCAAGAGAGAAAAATAATAGAGAAGTAAAAGGAAACCAAGGAAGTGCTTCCCCTGTCAGCTCCCTGCTCCCTCCATCCACACACAGGGCTTTAAGAGCAGTTTCTAGGCACAGCCTCTACTCTGCTGAGTTACGAGGTGAAGACCCAGAATGAGACAAACACACAACTGCGAAAGAGAAGCAAAGGGAATTACAGCTGGAGAGAAGCACGGACTTCAAGACAGGTCTGAAGGCAGGAGGAGCACATTTCATCACAGGCTTGGGCTGGAAAGGAGTTTGCTAAAGCACGGTCCAGAGAGGGAGCAGGAAACAGACGCCGTGTCACCCTTGCATAGCCTCCATCCCTACCTCAGGGCTGAATCCTCTGGTGAAATCCTTCATGCGACTCAGTGTGGGGCCCAGGTCAACATTGTTGCAGTTCAGGAGGACGCTCAGCAGGGCGTGGGTGGCACAGGAATTGGGGATCAGCTGCAGGGCAACACAAGGCTGGCTTCAACAGAGGAAACAACCCTTCACAGTCACCGATAATCAATGACAAGGTCAGTATGCAGAAACCACTTCTAAAGCAGCAACTAGAGGTGCACCTTGTGTCACAAAAGAAGGGAGATCACCCTCATGCAGCGAGGCACACCACAGCCACACGAGAAGCTGCCCACAGAGCAGAGAGGCTCTCAGCCTTCTCTGGGGTCCAGCTCTCCCTGAGGTGTCACAGGAGATACCTGCCTCCCTCTCCTCACCCTCAGCCTACCTGGTGAGCAAAGAACATGTTATTAACGATGTCATCGTCGATCACCGACGTCTCATCCACCAGGGTAGAGACCTTCCTGCGGGATCTGCGCTCCTCAATCCACTTGAACAGGAAGATGAACCCATACACGGGGCTGTGGAGAGATGTTAGCAACTGCACCACGATGGACAGGCCACTGCAGTGGGGCTGCTCTGCCCGCTGCCAGAGACCTTCTGTTTCAAACCGCAGGCAGAGAGAGAGAGAGAAAGCAGAACTACCAGCCACACGTCACCAGAAGTGACCGTCCCTACCACAAGAGCCCCGTTACCCAGGGCACTCCCATGCTGATGCTCAGGACAGCAGGTGAGCTTGAAAACCCAGGGGTTTGACAGGTCTCAAGACAGAGAAATAGGAGGCAAAATCCACCTCTGGGCACTCAGGCACTCACAGCCTTCTGAAAAATTGCTTAGCCTCCAAACAATTCCCTTCTCTTATAAATATCCCATATTCATTTCCAAAAGGGCATCAGCCAACAACTTTTAAGAAAGCTGCAGTTTCAAAGCACTGAGATGGAGAAATCCCACGCTCCAAGCAAGCAGCCTTGATGCTGGAGCTCTCCATGCCAGAAGAGAGATTAATCCCCAGAATGTGCCCCCACACAAAGTCTTTCTGGGTAACTGTGTCCAGGACCAGCCTGCCATCACAACCCATAATGCCAGGAAGGATAATTCAGCAGAAGAGCAGGAGCTCACCTGCCTGTTCCAAAGTGGAGCCAGCACTCCTGGCTCATTGTTCTCAGTGCTGACAGCCTCACTAGAGTCCCCTCAGCCCTAGAGAGACATTTTGCTTAATAGAACCCCCACTTTCAAGTGCATAACTCACCCCTGGCATTTGCTCTGCAGATCATAAATCTCTTCAACCTGCACCCCTTTGACCCCTGCAAACAAAGAGCAGAAGCTGGTATGAAGCCCACCACAAAGAGCTGGAGGTAATGCCAAGCATGAAGTCAGCTTCCCAGGAAGGTGCCTTGGACTCACCAAAATCTTCGACCAGGAGTGTGAAGAGACCTGGAAAGGGACAAAACCAACAGGTTAGTTTGGGCATGGTGCAGAGAGAAAACTGCTGCAGTTTTTTTCCAGCTGTGCTGTGACTTCAGACCACACTTACCCCCCCCCCCCCCCCTTGGTCAGCAGCAGAGCTTAGGCTTCCCACATCCCTCCATCCTCTTCCTCAAGACAACCTAAGCCAATCCCGTCCCTGCTAGCCTCCTGCTGTTGGAGCCAGCTCAGCACACTGGCCAACACAACCAACCTGCCAAAAGGCAAATCCCCACCACAAACAGGACAGGGAGCTCCCAAGCAATGCTATTCCTTCAGCTGGGAGGAAAGCAGCCAAACAAATGGATCACAGGGCTGTTGAAACATGACCACCTCTGTTTTTGTTAGTGAAAGCAAGCTTGACAAAAGGACTGAGGGTCAAAAGGCTCATCAACATCTTCCTTTCTCCTGGGGAACCAAATCTGTCCTCACTGACCGTAATTTCCCGTTTCAGAGGGGCATAATGAGTGATACAGATACAGGGAGGGCTATTAGACATCAGGAGCTGCAGTGCCACAGCAAAAGCACTTGGTCCAGTTTTCTGGCAGTTCACCCCCCTGTGAGGAGTTAGCAAGCCCGAGACTGAAATAACAAATCTGCTTCTTGCACTCTCTTAGAAAGGCTGCTGAAAGCCCAATAAGGATTCAAGTCAGAGAAACATTCCTACAGATAAGAGATTTAAGGAACCTGATGTGAATGATTTAACCAAGAAGGGAAGAGCCAAGAGGATTTGCCATCAAAGCTAAAGCTGCCAAAGAGAATAAACTTGCTCTCAAGTTTCAGAAGTTACAGTCTGCTGACCACAGCAAAACAAGGGCAACAAAATGCACCAAGTATGTCACAACGTGGCCAGTGATGATTTGCACAGCTCGTGCACCAGGTGAACACAGCCACAAATGCTCAGAGTGGCAGCAGCACAGCCAGGAGACAGAGCTGGGTGCCCAAAAGGACAAAAGATAATGGGAACGAGCTGGAGAGAGAGGCTGCGCACCAGGAGAGCACTAATTCTTCACCACCAGAGGTGCCAACTCTGCTGGTAGCAGAAACCTCCTTGGACAGATTCAGACTCAGTAGGACATAGCTGTGCAGCCCCAGCAGGGAGCCTGGCATCCAGCTAAGGTCTGAGCTGTCACAGCCTGGGGTCCAGATCAGAAATAGCTCAGCTTTGGCTCAGCAGTGGGCAGAAATGGCCACTCTGCAATTCTTCAGCACTCCAGTGAGAAGCTGGTACTAAAGCTGCACGCATCACTGCATGGGGATGGATTGCCTTGCAAGAAAACCACCCTCCATCCCAAGCATCAGGGTGCAAACTGTGTTTTGCTTTTGGTATCGTGGCGATGAAGAAGGGGAGAAAGATGGGAGTGATTTGGGCTATTCCTACACATCAGTAAAAGGATCAAGAGAAGCAGAACTTCAGTTGAGCAGGAGATCTGCAGCATACAGAACCCTTCAATGAGCACAGAAAGGCAAAGCAGGATGCACGGCAGCCCAGGCTGCTTGCCTACAACCCCAGAAGTCCACCCGAAGCTCACCCCCATGTTCTTTGTGACCACAGAGTGTCCTGTCCCCCTGTACCAGAGGTGTTCCCTGCTAGGACAGCTCTGCTCACACTCTATAGTCAGCGATTGCTATCCTTGGTGTTTTGGGGATGAGAATATCTACAGAAATTTTTTGCATCCCTGTCAAAGGACTCCAGATGGCATCCACAAAACCCTTTGGGTTCAGCAGATCGCGCTGGGGCCAGCCTGGCCCTCTGTTTCCCAAACAGCGAGCCTCACTTTGTGCCTCCCTCCTGCTCCTGCAGCCCCACTCCCCATACCCGCACCCCAAACCCACACCCACTCGCAGCCTCCCTCCTCGCTGCCTCCCTTACCCACCCATAACCCCTCACTACAACGCCCACAGCCCCCTACGACCCTCAGCTGAGCTCCAAACCCCTTCTTCCTCCGCACAGCCACCCCCAGGCCTTGTCCGAAACCCCTGGCCTGCACCCAGAGGCCTCCAGGCCGCCCCCCGGCCCACACCTACAGGCCCCCGGCGGCCGCCGCCGCTCAGGCCCGACTCCCCGCCTCCGATCCGAGGCTCACCGGGGTCGCTCTCCAGCTCCAGCCAACCCTTATTCATCTTCCTGCGGCCCGGCCCGCGCCGCCATGTCCGGCCCCGCCGACCGCCCGACTCTGGGCCCCACCGGCCCCGCCGCCGCGCCCGCAGAACACGTCATCGCCGTGCGACGCCGGGTGACGTCACCGCGCGCCGCCTCGCGGCCGTCCCGGGCAGCGGTGAGGGGGCGCCACAAAAGTCGCGCGGAGATCTGGGCCGGAGCCGGGCCCGGCGGTGAGGAGGCGCTACGAAAGTCCGCAGAAGTCTAGGCCGCAGCCGGGCCGGAGCCTCCCGCTCTGCCCCGCTGTTTGAGGCTTCTTTCCCCTGCAGTTGGGGACTGGCTGGGACTGTGCAGCGCACCACCAGGCCATGTGTCCAGTGTGGGGGAGCGCGGCCAGGCAGCAGGTTGTGGGGTAGGCCTGGGGCCTGGTGAAGGCTGAAGGCGCCAGGCAAGCCAGGCCCGGCCTCAGCTTCCGTAGGAAACAGCTGAAAATAGGAGGAGGCCTGGCCCGTCCCCGGGGCTTTGTTACCCTGCGGCTCCCACACACGGCCCTGCTGTGTCCCCTGGGCTATGGGCTCCACGTGGGGCGGGGGTTGGCCCTGCGGCCCCTCACCGACTCAGTGGCAGCACAGGCCCCACAGCCTCTGCCCCATATCTCAGACACGTGCGGGGTAACGCAGCGCTGCCACGGACTTTGCTCCCATCAAAGGCACCGCGCTGCGGCCATTGTGCTGCAGGGAGGAGCAGTGATCTCATGGCCCAGCCCTGGCTTTGTGCAAGCTATTTTGGGGGTCAATTATTAGTATTTTCTTTCCCCTTCCTCTGCCTTCGAACAATGCTGGTCCCGGTGGGGCCTCGGTTCACACCATTGTGTGGGGCCACACTGCGCTGGGAGCAGGAAGATCGTTATCAGCCCGGCTGAGAACTTTGCCAGGCCCTCAGCATGGGGCCAGCAGCGCCTGCACTGTGGCCCTGTTCTTTGGAGCACTGTGCGTTGGGGAGTACTGCAGCTTGGTCCCCACCCCAAAGCCCCTGCCCACTGCTGCACTGGCACCGTTATTGCCCTAGCTTTGTTACCTTCCCCTAAGCCTCTCCCGTGTTTACCCAGGGATAGGTCTAACCTGTTTGAGGCTGATTGCCACCCTCTGACCCTGCCCAGCCCCAAAAGGGTCTGTGCTTTCCCTCAGATAGGGTTGAAATGGGGCTGAGGATGAGCCCACAAGTCCTTGCCAGGAACAGGAGCGGCATTGCTGGCCACATGCCTGCCCGAGTGCTTCTCCCTTTTCATACAAAGGCCACTCTGCTTCCCAGCACAAAGGCTGGGCTGGGGCCATGAGAGCCCCATCCTACACTGCATGATGCCGGGACTCAGCCTGGGAGGCTTTTTTGCACAATTCTCAGCTTCTCCTTATGAGGGCAGGTATTGTGTTTCCTGGGTGCCATGCTGGTGGCGTGGAAAGAGCCTGATCAAACCCCACAGGCAAAGAGGGGACTGGTGCCACACTCGGCCTCTTTATTTGTGGAGAAAGCCAGCAAGCTCCCCAGCGTCTCCGCCACTCAGGCAACCATGACCCTGTGCCTGGCAGCCCCCAGCAGGAGTGAGGGGCTTGGTCCCCCTGACACAGCCCATTTGGAGGGGGACAGCAGGACCTGCCCAGGAGCCAGTCCTGGGGACGGAAGGACCTCGTGCAGCCGCAGCTCTGCCCGAGGACAGGTCCCCTGCGCTAAGTGGCTGCAGCTTGCCGGGGCACACGGATCCTCTCACCCTGCGGCTTGGCCACACGCCCTTTCTTGCCCACATCCATACCAGCCAGTGTGTGCTTGCCCTTGGCCATCTTGCCTTTGCGGTGGCCGCACCACAGGCGCAGGCACTGCTCCTCCACCCGCTGCCGGTCGGCTGAGCTGGCGAGGTGCAGGATGTCCTTGTACCAGGTTTTGGGTGCAGGTGCTGCCAGCCAGGCCTCAGGACAGGGCAGGTGCCTGTCCTCCCGTTGCCGGGGTGTAGCATGGGCAAGCTGCTCGCCCCCAAGCACCTCCAGGGCTGTCTTGGCCACTGTCTGGGTAAAGCCATGCTCCAGTGTCTTGCAGTAGTAAATCCCAGCATCACGGCGGTGCAGCTGGCGGAAGAGCAGCCCCTGCTCTGTCTGCAGGACCCGCTCATCTGTCTTTACCTGTTGGCCACGGCTATGAGGTCAGTCCCTTGTCCTTCTGGCAGGGAGAAGGGAAGGAGCAGGACAGGATGGGTGCTGGCGTCTCACCTCATCCCTCTGCTCATCGGGGGGTCTCTGCACAAACCACTGCACGCTGGCCTGTGGGGAGCGAGGCACACATTCCAGAAAGGTGCTGTTGTGCTCCATGCCATACAGCACCTTCTCTTCAACGTGCTCCAAGTCATCCACTGGGGCAGAGACAGAAGTGTGTACATGGTGAAGGCAAAGCCAAGCCACTCTACGCCCCATCACCTCCCTAGGTGTCCACCATGGCTTCAGTGCCCACCAGGGACAGATCTCCCTGAGGGCCCCAGCTTTCCTTGGGGCACCGTGGGACAGGGTAATAGGGGTTCTGGACATCTTGGGACAGCCCAGCCTCTCACCAGTCAGGTTCTGGTCCAGGCACTGGTGCACAGAGCTGGTGTGGCGGACGTAGCGGCGCTTGCCCGAGGGCTGGTAGCGGGTGCAGGCGGTGCCATCCCAGGCACAGTACGGGTCCCTGGCCAGGCAGCACTCGGCACAGGCAGTGCCATAGCTCTTGCACTGGTGCAGCCGCACCTGGGCCACCCCCAGGCTGGCACCCACATAAAGCTTTTGCTGGAGGACGGCACAATATGGCAATGACAGCAGCTACCTCCCAGTGGTGATGCTTGACCCCACTTCATGTAGCCCCTCCTGGTCACCCACCCTGTCCCTAACCCCAGACTCACGCGCTTGACAGAAATCTCCATCTGAGTGATGGGCACCGGCACCTGGAGGGAGAACAGCAGATGCAAAGCTTTGTCTAGCCTTGCCATGGGCAGCCCTGGGCCTCCACCTCCTGATGCTCAACAGTGTGGTGCCATCCCTCTAGCCCATTCCCATGAGCATCGCCCACCTTAAAAACCTGCAGCTCCTCCAGAACAACTTCCTCTGTCACAGCTGAGCTCTGCTTCTGCAGCACCACCACCTTCAGCACCGAGCCTGCATCTGGAGGAGGGGAATGGAAACATGACCTCACGCCACACCAGACATCCACACGTGCCACTTGCAGCGCATACCTGTCCCTAAGAAGAGGACATCATGCTGCCCATCCTCAGTGTCCACACGGTCCACCACGAGCTGGCGCAGGCCATGCTGCAGGTCAGTCTTCACCAGCAGCGGGCGGTGATGCCGTGGGCGCACAGCCCTGTACATCAGGGGGTGAGCACGGGCAAAGTGCAGCACCTCATCAGGCAGCTCCTTGGTGCTGCTGTATGGCCGCTGGGGCTGGTTGGTGGTCTTGCTGGGACACTGCAGGGACAGGAAGGACGCTGCTTGGCAACCAGCCCCTCATCAGAGCCTTTTTGGGTCCCTTCCCATATTCCACTTTGGGATCATCTCCACCTTAGCCACTCTGGGGATAGAGACCCCATTGGGATTGGTCCCATCACCCCCCATGGGGATGTGGGAACTGCTCACCACGCCTGGGCGCGGGTAGGGCACGCGGCCCTCGTAGGCTCCCCACTGGTGGAGGGGGCTGTCCTGGTGGGCAAAGGGCCCGTTGAAGACCTCGCGGATGTCGGCCATGCGGTAGACACAGATGGCAGAGCCCTGAAAGACATGGCTGGAAGGGGACAGTGACAGGTGCATCGGTGGAGGGCATGGGAGCTCTGAGATGTCTGTGCAGCCCAGACTGGCGCTGATGTCCCTTTGGGCTGGGGCTGAGCCACCCACCTGACAGTGCTGAAGAGTGCGTAGATCTCTGGGTTCTTCCCATCCTTGGTCCTCAGCAAAAAGACATCCTCTGTGGAGGAGCAACCCGAGCCCTTGAGGTTGACTGGTGGCCCCAAAGCCACAGAGCCACTGGGGTCCCCTGTCAGCCCGCCTCCCTTACCCAGCTCATCGAAGTGGGTATCAATGCCACCAGGACCCGGGACGGAGCACACCAGGCGGGCTTTGTTGAAGGTGCTCCACTTGTTGACCAGCACCCTCTGGCCTCCAGCATCATTCTGTAGGGATGGGGGGCATCAGGGCCACCGCCGTGACTGAGCGCTCTGCACCCCTGGAGGCTTGGGAGCCTTCACCATCTCCAAAACTCAGGAATTTGCCACTGATACAGGAAACCACCCCAGGCTTTAGGTCCCCTAAACCAGGCACTGAATAGGCACAAGGGGAACATCTCTATCCCCTGCCGTGTCCAGCACGGTGCCACCAGCATCTCACCACGCAGACCCGTGCCACCCGGCTGACGATGGTGTGCTCCTTGCTGTCTGCCTCCACCACCTTCTCCGTGAAGAAGAAATAGGCTTTGTCATCATCTCGGTCATCGTTGTCTGGGATCATGTAAGCAGCCACGAATTTGGGGTCTAGAAGAGAGCCAAGAAAGGCAGCGGCTGCCATCTGTGCAGCTCACATAATGGCTAGAAATGTGTGAGGAAGATCCATGTGAGGGCACAGGATGGACGATACCATTGAGCAGGCGCTGGTCCACCTCAGTGCGCAGCGCAGCGCGGGTCCCAGTGCTGCGGAAGATGCCGGGATCACGGCCGAGGAAATCCGCAGTGAGGCCAGCATAGAGCTCCCCACCTGGCAGAGACACCCTGAGTGCCACGGCCCCCCCGAGCCAGGGGAACCAGTCCCAGTGCCCAGCAGCACAGGGGACCCCAAGGGCAACAACTGACCGATGATGGTGCTGGCAAAAGCACGGTCAGGTTCATGTGGGCACCTGCCACGACCGCTTTCCATGCTACCGGGATCCAAACTGAAGGCATGCTGGGTCTGGAGGAAGATGGGACCATGATGGGGGCGAGTTGGAAGCCTGTCTAGGGTCCTATGGGACTTGGAGCCCACGCTTTTTGGGGCAACCCATCAGCAGGAGCTGGGTTTGCCAGGGGGGTGGCAGATCCCTGGCTC